AAAAAAAAAAACCACTATAAAACCAATCAAAACAGAATATTGAATAGAGCAAAACAATTAATTAGCACAAAGCAAAACAGTGAAAATAATATTGGCTTTCAAAGTTAAGATGGAAGGAAATCCTCCATATTTGCCATACTGCATTCTGTCATTCTCCTAAAAGATGCTTAGACCTGTGGCTCCAGGTAGGCATAATTAACTAAAGAATACAAGCATTTAGCTGCTTTATGTATCTTAGTTGCCATAAACTACATTCAACTGCTTTATGTGTGTTAGTTGCTATCATCTGTGGCTGACCTGAAAACCATCCAGTTGTTAACTGGGATGGGGATGGAGACACCGGGCATTTGATTCTCAGCCTGTGGGTCTGTAGGCTCATGGGAGACACTGACTTATTCTCTCCTTGACTTGCCTGCCATTCACTCCACTTACCAGGAAGGCTGGCTTGCTGCTTTCTTGGTTGGTCCCCCAAGTTCCACCATGGCTGATTCTCAGGAGATGCTGATTTATTCTCTCCCTGGTGCTCTAGCCAATCTTAACCTTCCAAGTAACATTTAGTTATTAACTCATCAGTGAACTAATACACTGATAAGTATCATGTCTCCATAATTCAATCATATGCCCAAAGCCCCATTTATGAGAACATGAGGCTTTTAGAGAACATCTAGATATAAACCATAACATCTAAAGTGGCCTATCAATATAGGCCAATTCAAACCAGTGTTTGAATTCTTTGCTACAAGTGACAAAAACTCCAACTCAAATTTTCATAACCTGGAAGGGAAGGAATCAAACAGGAACTCAAAATCTTTAGCTCATTTTCTCTTTTAGTCCTCTGTAGTCTTTGCTTCTTTAATGATGAACACATTTTCTCAGGATAGGTTGTACATGGTGGTGATAGTGAGCTCTAAACTTACATTCTTAATGTTAGAAACCAGCTCCTACTCTTTAACTGAAAACAGGAAACCCTTTGGAAGGACCCGTTACTAAGCCAATCTTTGTGCCATGAAATATGGATACATTTTCTACTTCTGTGACAAGGAAAGGAGCTGTAACAAGAAGTAATGTCTGGGAAAGGGGTGTCAGTGGATAAAACTATCCAGTTGAACCAAACATCTGAACAGATTTCTGTATTATAGGCCATCTCAGAGTCTAATATTTTATAGTGAATTATGGATTAAAGACAAGGTAGACATTTTATGTAACATTTTCTAAGTCATTGAACTTGGGCATTTCTTTTCAATTGGACACTGTGTGAGGTTAATGTGTTGAATGAGTTTCAATGTATTCATACAACTGGTCTTTGTATTATTTATTGAAAAACTCCTACGCTGAGTGGAGGGTCTGAATAGCATGAGTAAATAAGTAGGTGAGAGCAATTTAATTATCAATTTAAAAATCTGATATTTTCTAAATTTAAATAGTCTCTTTAAATTTGTCTCTCTGAATACAAAGTTCAGTTAATTGCTGGGTGAGGTGACATATCCCTATAATCCCAGCACTCAGGAGGCTGAGGCAGGAGCATGATTGTGATTTTGAGACCAGCCTGGGCTACAAAGTAAGACCAAAGCCAGCTTGAATGCATAGTGAGATCCCGGCTCAAGAAGCTAAAACCAAAACCAAACCAAAACAAAACAGAAAAAGAGCCAAAAACAAAGTTCAACTGATTAAATTGTATCCCATTTCTCATTATCATCAGGCTACACAGGTAAGAATGGGATAATGTATTTGATCTCTTGCCAGTGGGTGCTAAACATTTCCCTTTGGATTCTTGCCAGTCTTGTTTTGTGAATTATCTCTTAGTTAGTTTCACTGGGGTTTGCTGAAGCATGGCTGGTAAAATTACACTTTCTCTGTTCTTAGTTGAGTTTTTAAATCTACTTTGGATAACTGGCTCTACAACTGCTCTTGCTACTTGTGTGCATACATCTGATATCTAAAAGTCATATATTCAGACCCTGACCTTGGCTCTTTCCTCCATAATGAGGAATCCTCTCTCCCTCACGCTCACTCCATGGAAGGATCATTAGTTTTCCCATCCTTGCCCTTTTCTTTCTTCCCTCCCCTCTTCTCTTTCCCCTTCCCCCTTTTCTTCTCATTGTCCTTCTCCTACTTGTCCTCCTCCTCCTTTTCCTTCTCCCTCTCCTTCTCCACCTTTTCTTCCTTCTCTTTCTCCTCCTGCTCTATCTTCTATTCCTTTTCCATTTTTTGGTTCTGAATCAGGGTCTCACTAAGTAGTTCAGGCTGGTCTTGAACTCACTGCAATATAAATTATATATCAAAAAGTATATCTAAATATTTCAAGGGAATATTATCAATGTTTTGGGGTATGATTACATGTCAAATAAATTAATGAGAAAAGATAACCCATTTTCAAAGTCAAGAAATTCTTAGTTTTTATATCAACTCCATTTACATGAGCTGCTTGTACATTGTTGTCATTGAATCTTAGTTTCTCCTGTACAAATCCTAGTGAAAATCCCTATGTAAAATTTATTGAGAACACTTTCTTCATTATAGTTATTGATGCTTCTCTAAGGAGAATTGAATGAATCATTCAGATTTAGGAAAAACTGTTCTTTTCTTTAAAATCCATAAAAAGGATGCCAAAATGCCCTTCAATTACCAATATCAAATTTAAATATCCAAAAGGAAAATTATTGTTTTCTGCTAGAAAGTATTCTGGGACATCTTTACCAATAAAGTTTTGTTCAATAGACCACCCTCTGAGAAGACCCAAAGAGAAGATTTTGGCAAATTTATAGGGATCACAGTTTGGTCTCTTCTCTTCTCTTCTTCCTTTTTTTCTTTCAAGATATGGAACCATTATCTAAGAGAATAGGTTATCGTATTTTCCTTAGGAAGTATTCTTCTCCTTCCACTGTCAAATCTAACACTTCTTATACAGAAATAAATTCCTCCTAGAACAATTTAAGCCAATTTCTTGTGGTGTATCTTATTAGAGATGGAAAACAGCTGGCCAAAATTTTCTATACAATAAATCTTCATATGCTTTTATAATAGCTTTAAATTTAGCATTTATTTTCTAAGTAAGCTCCAATTTTATTACTAGTCCCCTCTTGACCAAGTCCTTTTAGGCTTATTCTTTTTACCTACTAATCTAAATATATTGAATTCTCAAGCATTGCCACTTTTGGCTAAATACAATTTGAATTACTTATCCATATCTCTAACTGAATATGCCAATTCTTTTAGTAAAACACCTTAATTTGAGTTACACTAAATGCAATTTTTCTTACTACATGTTTCTAGGGTCAGGAGGCACTAACAGATTTTATAGTGTGTGAATGTTATAAAGTCACAATAAAATCTTTTTTATGTACAAATAATAAACACAGAACCTTAGTACTTGCAAATCTGAATGTTTACAACAACTTTTCTTTATATTTCATCTGTAGTAAAAACTATGTTATTGTTGGTGTCATATGACTAAAAGTCCTGTACAACTGCTTAAAATTCCAAAATACTCTAATTAGGTAGCTTTATTATTAGGAAGTAAAATAAATTATATGACCGCCAACTTTAATAACATCAAAGATTTATTTTCTTAACATATAGAAATTGTGGGCCAGGGATCTAGCTCAGTGGCACAGTGTCTGTTTGGCAAGCACAAGGTCCTGAGTCTGCATGCAGAAAATATAGAAATTTTCTCAATTATTTTAGATTAAGGTTAAATTAGCATGCTAACATTTTCAGCACTTTTAGAATGCTGGGTAATATGGTAGGTACTTTCACTGATACATCCTTCATAAAATCCTTCATCATTTAAAATATAATTATTCTTTGTTGTTGTTATTGGTACCAGGATTGAACTCATGATCTTGTGCTTACCAAGCAGGTGTTTATGCTGCTGAGCTAAATCCTGGCCCTCTTCTTTTATATAGATCTCCAGAAATTTATATTAACCATTTGTAAATTGTTTAAGCACTCTAAAATAAAGTTAAGTAATAAAATGAATAAGGGAAGAATTTATTAAAGTTATATTGTCTTTTTGATTTGGAAGATGATTACAAGGTGGTGATAGTAAAGATGATATAGCTTCTTTGCCGTATATAGCAATTACTATAATTGCTGAGCATTTAAATATTAGTTTCTATTGCTATTGCTATTTTAACCAGTAGTACTGAAGTAGTCATTTAAGGATAAATCTTAGGTGTTAGTTAAATTAATTAGCTAATACTCTCTAGTGCTTCTGAAATTGCAGACTTAATGGGGACAATACTGAGATAAGCATGACTTATTGTTCAAATGACAAAATTAGAACAAAGACATTTCCATATAACGTGTCTCACAGGCGGTAACTTCCATTTATCATTTCTATATAACAGAATATCCTAAACTTAGTGACATTTGGTATGTTTGTGGATTTTATCAGTCAGAAATTTGGAATATGCAATGTGGAAATTCCTTAAAGTCTTAGAACTCGGTTGGGATGTGGGTGATTTAGTGTTTGGTGATGCAATTATCTGAAGGTTTGTTTTATAAATCTGGTTGATGTTTGGGGTTGGGGCCATTTTAGATTTCACTTTGTAGCTGTTTCTGAAGTGTCTAAATGTTAGCAGGACTTCTTTGAAGATAGTGGGCTTTGGGGGGAATTGAACTTATACAATATTGTACGGCTCTGAAGATAAGTGTTTACCAAGATAGAATTCAAATGTTCTTTTGGAATTAGCCAAATAGCTCTGAGACTTGATATCATTATATAATCCATAAAAGAAAAATTGATAAATTATACCTCAATGAAGTTAGAGACTACTTTTTTCAGAAGACCCTTTTAAGGGAATTGTGAAAAGCAGAAAACCAAGAGGAAATATCTGACAAAAGATGAATATTTAAACAGCAAAATAAGCAAATACGTTGTTTAAAAAAATAGATGAGAGTATAAACAAACACTAGCCTAAAGAGAAATGATGTGGTCACTAGGCAAATGGAAAGATGTTCAAAAATCATTAAACACCAGGGAAATAGAACTTAAGACCATACTAACCTGGCAGTAGAGATAATATGATCACAAAGGTGGTTACCCAGGGTGAGGCTTATCCATTGCACTACAGATGTGCTGACCCCTGCGGTTGTCCCAAATGTGTGAAACTCGACTGAAAAAATTATGGTTGTAGGGGACTGTGTTCATGCTTTCACCTGTAAAAAGAAAAAAAAAAAAAAAGAAGAAAAGAAAAAAGATTTAAGACCGTGAAGAGATAATAGTGTATGATCACTTTTAGTACAATTAAAATAAAAAACACTGACAAAACAAAATGCTGGCAATGATGCAAAGAAAATGGATCACATTGTTGATGGGAAAGTAAAATGTTACAGTTATTCTGTGAAAATAAATGTAGTTTCTTAACTAAGTATATATTAGCTTACTGCTGAACAATTATACCCTCGGGCGTTTATCTTGCAGAAATGAAAACTTATGCTTACTTCAATCTATACTAGGAAGTTTAGAGCAGTTGTATTTTTAAAAGCCATAAATTGGAAACTATCAATCCTTTATAGGCAAATGGGCACATATATATATTATAGAATATTACTCAGCAATAAAACTGAATAAAAATTGATACACACAACTTTAATGAATATATAGGGAATTATGCTGAATTAAAAGTAAAGAAAAGTCAATCAAAAGTCATACTATCAGGGCCAGGGATTTAGCTCAGCAGTATAAGCACTTGCCTGGTGAGTGCAAGGTTGTGAGTTTGATCCCCAGTACACACACACACACACACACACACACAAAAGCCATACTATCTGTTTTATGGAACTCTCATATTTTGACTGTGGTTATATGTGATAAAATTTCATAGAAGTATATGCACATGCCCCCCCAACACAAAGGAATGCACATAAAACTTGTAAAATATGAATAAGGGGGATGTTTTGGATTGACATCTGTAATGTGATATTATTGTGTAGTTATGAAAGATGTTACCATATATGAAATTGGGTTGATGGTATATGGTGCCTCTGTGTATTTTTCTAACAACTGCATGTGGATCTCAATTGCAAAATACAAAGTTAAATATGAATTGAAATGTAACCAGACATATTATAAATGATTTTAAATTACACAAGGTAAAATTTTAAAAGAATTTATGTAAAAATTTAAAATTTCATTTAGCAAAACAGTCAAAATTGCAATCTTTCTCAGTAAGTCAGGGGTAACCAGGGGATAATAAATGATCTCTTTGAAATTAAAAAATCACTGAAAATGTAGAATTCCAGACCTAGGAAAATTGTTTCTCAAGAGTGAAGTATAAATAGAGACAGAATTTGTCACTGGTAGCACTATAATAGTTTTCCTAATGAGAAAGAAAATGATCCTGGATTGTAAATTCTAAATGCAGGAAGGCATATAAAGGTATAACATCTCATTAAATCTAAGGTATTGTTCACTGAATAAATATTGGACCAATTTAAAATATATTGAGATAAAAAGAAAAGAAAATAGTTTCTAAATTAGGGTTAAAGTTTATTATTGTATACAACAGGATGTTATAACATGCGTGTAGTAAAATGGTTATGTTAATGAACAGATTAACTCATCCATCATCTCACATGGTTATCTGCCCCTCTTTTAGGTATAATCTACTCATTTACCCAAATCCCCAATATAATTCATTGTTATTGACTATAGTCCTCAGGTTTTACACTGCATCCTTTGACTTGTTTGTATTTCCTGTTTTGTATTCTTTGTCATACAGACTCCCTTTCTCTCACTCAATTAACTCTGATTTTGGTAAGCAGTATTCTCTGTCTATAATACTGTATATCCTTTAAGAAAATAGATTTTGCATGGAGATTATGTGATATATTTTCTTTCTGTGACTAGGTTCTTTAACTTTGTATGCTATTCTTCAGGGCTATTCATATTGTTAACGGAAAATTACAGAATCTCCTCTAATAAGACTTGTATTATATATTCTGTTACCATAATTTTTGTATACATTAATCTATTGATGGTTTTGTTCCATTTCTTGTCTATTGTGAACAGTATTACAATGAACATAGTACAAATAAAACAAAATTGTGTGTGAATTAATAATTATTAAAGTATTCAAGTTCATATTTATATATCATATCATTGAAATATTGTTTTCATTAATTATTTAAAGTAGTACTTTTTAAAATTATCACAGAGTGAAGTTTTATTATCAGCCATTTTTACTCATGCCTTAAGGAAACATGCAGCAGATTTGCCACAAATCAGTTTTTCTAATATAATTTTGCATTTCATTCACATACCCTGATTTTTTGAACAATTATAAAAATTAGCTTTTTGCCATAAGTTTGAGTAAAATTCAAGAATATTTTTGGCAACTACTAGATACAAAACCTTGTGTGCTCCGGACATGCTCAAGATTTATATTTCTGTTGTGGCCTTCTACTATATATTTACTGACAACCTTTTGTTTTGATAGAATTTTCTAAACATGTTTCTCAGCAAGGAGTCTAGTGAGGGGCAGATTTCAGCAAGTTCTGAACAATACTGAATTATTTTTCCAGGTGGCCTATAGAGAAAAGCCTTTCATCAGCCTTAGGATTTGTGCTCCTACATATGGGAAAAAATTGTTCTGGCTCATTAACTTGTTCTACATGAAATCATGATGGTAGAGATGATGTAAGTTAGGCTATCATCTCTTTCCCTTTTTTTCTTACTGAGGAGTTTTTAAAACTTATCATTTTAATAGGACCATAGAGTTCATTTCAGTACTGAAGAGTCTATAGTTCACTATTCATGTAAAAAGTTACTTATGAACTTGTTAAACAAGATGCAGTGAATGAATGAATGTTCATGTGTAAATGAATGTATGAGGGAATAATTATGGTTATTGCTTTGAAGAACACTAGGAATAAAAATCTGAACAGATTGTGCAGTTAGAATATACATTTAAAGAGAAATAAAGAAGGAGAATATAGGTAGTAAGAAGAAAAGTAGCAGCTGTGAAACCCGACATGCTGACAATTTTCTATTTGGGTTGGGACAGTAAGGGAATAGATAGTTTAGTTGTAACATAAATCTATCTTTCCATTCAAAATTTGAATTCTGTATTGCTTTCTGTTTATAAAGATGCAAGAATGAGATTGTAATTCACAATGATAATTAAGACTAACCTTTTACTGAGTGCTTATTGTAAACCTAAAATTGTGTTAAGAGTTTGGCAAATTTTCTACTATAATTCTTATTCTCTATCTGAGAATGATAGAGAACTCCCTCTGAGACTTTGTTCTTGCCCAGAGCTCCAAGGTCACCTTAAGGTTCTTGAGGTCTCTGAATGTGTGTTCATCCCAGAAATGTATGTAACCCTCCATTTCCTGCAAAAGTCTTTCAATGGATGAATTTACTAATATCTTTTACTCTTCAAATAAATCAATTTGTTTTCACTTGTTACATAGTATAGAAAACTAATTCAGGACTGGGCATATAGCTCAGTGGCACAAGCACCTGCCTGTGAAGTGCAAGGTCATGAGTTTAATACCTGGTTAAAAAGAAAAAACAAGACAAGAAGAGAAAAGAAAAAAAGAAAAGAAAACTTTATTCAACAATTCATGTTAAGTGGCCTCATGAACATTCTCTCAGATGTAGGAGTCAAGGAAATGTGCACTGGAATGAGCCTCTATGGTCCGGAAGGATTTCTGGAAAACGAAATTGTTGAGCTGAAATTATGTTATATTAGGTAGAAGAGAAGAAGGCATTAAAATGTAGCTTGGAGTTATTCAGAAGAAAAACAAATAGCATTTAGAATTACAGGAAAGTTCTGAAAGGACAGAAGCAGAATTTATATAACATTGCTTGTTGTATGTTATATGTTTCTAATATTGCTAAAGACATGATACATGAGTTAATATAATAAGAAGTGAGAGACAGTCAGGTATAGAATTAGTACAAAAGCTTTTGCCTTGATAAGATTTTCAAATTTATATGATAGAAAATTATTTATATAATTTAACCAGGGGAAAAGATTATCTGATTTGTATGCAAAATTGATTTCATTTGGGACAGGCAATAAGAAGTGATTCAAAAGTTAATTCTAGCTTCAAAACATACATTTCAATAATAAGAAATAACTGACTCTTCGCTTCTTCCTCCATTGTGCTTTCTCAATGCTTCCACAAGGACTCAGCTGCCTGTTTTCAATCTTATTTACCTAGCACCATAAAAGATAGTACACTGGATTTTTACCATGTCTTATTCATTTTTGTTTCTCTAGAGACCGTAAAAGTATCCAGCGCATGATTTATGTTGATATAAGATTGATTGTTATTGGCTTAATAACCATTAAGTCATGACAAAGACGAAGTTAGCCATAAGTTTAGAAAAGAGAGAAGGTGAAAGGAAAATATGGACAAGGGAAAGAAGAGAAAGAAGGAGAAAGGTAAAGATAGATGGATAGAGGGAGAAAGGGAGAGAGAGAGAACAAAGCAAATATAGTTCAGAAATATGACTAAAACAAACCTCAAATAAGTTATAAAACAATTGATTTTTCTTCTTTTTTTCAAATCTGTAATATAATGTGTATACTATTTTTATATTTATTTAAAATATTATAACAAAAAATGAGAAAAAAGCAATAATAACCTACCAAGAAATTTAAAATCAGGGACATTGTATCCCACAAACCATGGAGTTTGTGATAGCAATTAATTATAATGTGAACTTTGGATAAAAATAATAATTAAGGCTTTTGCTCTAGATGGTTCACTTGATACTTCAGTAAAAACTGCTCTACAATCAAGACAGAGAAAACCAAAGAGAGAAAACAAAGAAACCCAAAAGTGGCTGCCTTTGTTGAGGGTTTAAAAGAAACATACCAAACTCACCTGTTAGTACTGTGGAAAGCCAGGCCACTTTAAGATGGACTACCTTAAGAGGTCCTCCAAGCCTTGCCTAACTGCAAATGTGACCACTGGAGGTTGGCCTGCCCTCTGAGACCAAGGTCTAGAGTTCAGACCCATCCTATCAGTTGGTCCAGTAGGCCTGTAGGGGCTCCAGGCACTCTACCACCTCCTTGTGGCCAGACTGTCATCTCTGTCACTTCTGCAGAGGAGTCCTGAGTAACCATGACAAAAGTAAAAACCAGCCTATTGCTGGACATTGGCATACATCTCCTCATCCTTCTTCAACTCTGATCTTCATTATA